TTTCCCTAAATGCCTTAATAGCTTCCCTATTGCTTGCCCTTTGCCAATTCATCACTACTTTCAATGCCACAAAAGCAGATTTCCCTACTAACACTCAGTGCTGTGTTGTCATACTGGCTTTTTTCACCTCTTATTATTATGGGTATAAATTGAGTTGGGAATATGGGATGAAATATATTTAACATTTAATATTATACTGTGTGCGCGCAGATGCACATGGATATGTACATACTAAGTGTTTGTGTTTATAAGTTAATTGGTTATATAGTTATCAATACATAATTTATCCAGCGATATAAACACTTTTTATTGAAATAACAAATTGCTTTCATATAGTAACTATATTTGAGGATACTGCATTTGGTCTGTAGATTGGTTTTTTACCAGTTCTCTGCAAATATGTGATATTTGCCATTCAAGTTATATTGTTGTTTTGTGATAGGCCAGATAAATCATCATAGCACATTGTTTCTGTTGACTGGCTGGACAGTAGTCAAATACTTCTGGCACAAAGGTGGTATGTGTACAAATTTAAAATTTTGTCTTATGAAAACTCACTCAAAACTTTCTGGAAGCATTTGTGGCTGTTTGGCTTAAATACATGAAAGTTCACAAAAACATGAAAGTTCACAAAAAGCGAAATCGTAAAAGGGAATGAACATAGCCAAAGAGAGTATTGATGGAATGTTTTTGCATTTAATTTATAGTAGTGGGCACTGACCTTTTTGGCATGTGTGCTATAAATTAAGCCCTGCACCCTCACAGAGTGCCTCTCTGATCCTCTTTCCCTGACTGATCTGCCTCTGTGCTTTCTGCTCTGCTCTGTGCTCCCTTTTGATCTGCTGCTTTCCTTTAGTCCCCTTGCCCTATCTGCCACTGTGCTGCCCGCCCCCTCCCCACTCTGCCATGTGCCACATGCAGAGGCGGGCTATGCAACTTGTGGCATATATGTTGCAGGTTGGCCACCCCTAACTTATAGTATGCTATGTTGTATATACATGGGGTATGACCAATGCCAAGCTCTTATCTATATAACTCTTAATGTTCTTTTAACCTATACCTTGGCACAGCGTCTACCTTTCTGTGTGCAGTATCTTATCCCCCAGATTTTCTACAAACAGACATTTGTGGTTCTCTAACATCAGCAAATGTTAATATTTGTATGACCGGCCCTCCACGTCTTTGCAGTCAGTAAAGTGAAAAAAAAATCTTAAGCGGTAAGTGCAAGTGTTAGCATGTGCACGTTTGCACTTGCATAAGCTGTTGATGCTGAATTTATGAGTGCAAAGCAGGTAAATATATTAGCAACCACCTGTGGAAATTTGTAGCCAAAAGGATTTCATTTGCATGCCCTAGCACAAGAATTGCATATGGAATGCCAGCATGCCATTTTTGTGTACCTTTGTGGTATACAACTGTATGCTTCACTAATTAACAAATCACATCCTATCTGCCTGCCCCATAAGGTATGTCTGTGGACAGGGATTTCTTTTTTCAGAAACAAAGGCATAAAGGAGATATTTTAAGTTGCTTACATGTACGGAGAATTAGTCTCACAGGCTTGGTCAAGTTGGCTGGGAGTGCACCTTAGTACTGTACAGACATTTTCTTCCTTGGATTCTTGAAAGACATTTAGATATGCTGTCACTTGCATTAATTTAGCTATCAGAAAATCAATATTTTTGATTTCTGTTTCTGCTATTGATGCATGAAAATCTTGGTCTTTGGACAATTTGATAAAGAATGACCGAAAGGGACTGGAGTAGAAACAATAAGTGCAATTGATTAATCTACCTTAGTCATTTGACTTCCAGACTCACAAACACCATTAAATTAAGGTGACAGAGAGCTTCAGAGAGTAACACTTGGGCAAAAGCAATACTTTGCAGCTCCCAGGCTTGCTGCAGCTCATAGTGACTTGGGCTTGTGTCTGGCTCACTTGCTCTTTTGAGCAGACTGATTTTTATCTGATTGCTGCAGCCAGGTGTGACAGAGCAACTGCTGCTAGCACACTTATCACTCAGGGTAATGGTTTACTTCTGCACTGAAGCAGACAGCCCAAATGGGCCTGAAGAAGTGTCAGTCAGCACAGCAACAGCACTGAGAGAGGTTGACTTCTGGCTTAAAAATAATGAATGGGTGGAACTCAACAAATAGAAAAGGAGGAAGGTGACTAAGGCCATTTTTGGACAGAATTTAAAAAGAGCTCAACAAGCAGCAGCTCCAATAGCATCTTCATTTAGGTGCCTAAATAGGAACTGACCTTCCTTAAATTCTGGCCAGAAGTATATTTAAAATGACGCTGTTAATCAGTGCCCAGCCTATGGGGGCTGAGAGGGAACACTACTGCTGGAAGAAAGTCAGGCACAGAAAGGCTGCAGATATGCCTGGACAGGGTTCTGCCCCAATGTCCTTAGTTTTGTCCAGTACCAAGGAGGATACATCTTTTGGGGCTGCAGAGAATGCCATCATGTTGACGGATACTACTAAGTTGTTGTTAAAGAAGGTTTTAGGACCCATAGTTCCAAAAATAATGGTGGTCCCATTGCTTGGGTAGCTAAAACAATCCTGGATTTTGAGCCACTAAGCCCCTCAATCCAGTTGCAACTATTTACGGATTTTTATTTTTAAATAACTGGCTAAGTGCTGCTGAAATTCTGTTACTGGAAGTAGCTAGGGAGCAGGAATAACATGCTTGTTTACATTCAGAGGGCAAATTACATGAAGATGGAGGGACTGGCTTGCTGCAGAATGCATTTGTTCTATTCTCCAGGTATGCATTGGATCATTTATGAGGAGAAAATCTGTCCCCAATGCTATTGCTGAGCTATGTGCTCAGAGGGCTCATTATGAGGCACATTAAACCAATGGTGATGCAGTTTGTATGCATTGCCCATTTGTTAAGGCCACCATAGCTCTGAAGGTGGGGCAATAGCCCCTCCATATGTCTCACTCTTCAGCCTGATGTGGGGACTCTTCACAGAATACCCTCCTGCATTCTTGTTATTCATATTGCATGCTGACATTAAGGTTTGGCCAAAGCAACTTGTTTCTTAACTACAGTATGAAATGGGATTCTGTTGCAGCTTGGGAGCAGAGAAAGGAGAGAGAGAGAGAGAGAGACATTTTATTTTAGGCATCCCCTACACGTTGAGATTTCTAAAATAATGTCATTTTTCCTAAATTAGTGCAAAAATGTATTTAAAAATCACCTGAAATCTTGCAAGCCATTTAGTTCACATCTGGTTTAGGGCCTTTGAATATCTTGGAACAGGAAAATTCAAAACAGGGTCTAGAATCATGATCGATTTCCCCCCTCCCCAAACAGAGGTGAGAATTTTAGAATGTAAATGATAAGAAACTAACTCTAGTCTAAGAAGTGCATTTGTTGAAATGGCCACATGTGATGCCTGTGAAGCAATGTTATTGCACTCTTATTTTCTGGGTAGCTGCTGTACAGGGGCCATTGCTGAATAAGGGGTATACCCATAAAAATACATATGTGGGCCGAAACTTGCACCTTATGCTCTTGCAAACTGGTAGAACTTCTCTGCATCCCGTTAGGAAGGTCTTTTCAGAGTAGCCAGGGCAGGATAAGAGTTTATCCTTGCACTTCTGCTGTCACAATTTGAACTGAAGGCTCATATCCAGGAATCTATAAATGCAAGCCCCATACCAGTCAGAGTCTCAGTGAGAAAAGGATTCACCTGTGTGGGTGGTGTGACTCTGGGCCCATATGTAATCTATGGCAGATGGATTAGCTGTTAATTTCCAGTTGATGCCATTAGTCAAAGATTCACCAAAGACCTACTGGGTAGACAGTCTGCAGAACTGGAACTGCAATGAATAGGTGCTGTTTCTAATTTACAAATGCAGATGACTGATAATTTTAGAAGCATACCCAATATAAGTACAGTATTTATAAAAACAAAAGGGAAAAAAACACACAGGAGTAGTGCCATTTGATACTGATTGAGTGAAGTATTGAATTAGTTTATAGAAATTATTTGCATAGGAAAGCACTCTAAAGATTTAAAAAAATAAATGGTGGGAGAGTTTGTCTATGGGGGCTCCTGGTACTGGTGGGCTCTGACTCAGCAAAAAGCATATAGGCATTTTTGTAATTTAAATGTAAAAATAGTTTTAAGTGAATGGGATTACTAATGTGCTTAAAGTGACATGTGCAACCAAGTGCTCTGCTGGGCTGGGGCTATGAGCTGGACCTGTTGCAGTATGCTATAGCAATATGCTTTGTGATCAAGTGGATTCCCAAAGTCACTAATCCATTGAACACATTCCACACTTTCCCTGGCATTGTTCAGCACTACCTCCAAACTGTTGTCCACGTTAAAATGGCTTCCATTGTGCATAGGAAGCCTGAACTCTTGATATGTACCCTCCTCTACCTGTCCCCATTCCCCATGAAGTAGAATCAGTTTACAAGAATTTTTCTATCGGGCGATTTGGCCCACAAGTATTAGGATAAATAATAAAGTGTGTGTATTTATATGTTAGTTTGGCATACAGTTATCCAAAAAACAATTTATTTAGCAGTCAGGAAAACTGGTGGTTTGGTAATATTAGGAAACTAGGAAAACCTACAATTTTTCCTCTGAAGGAGTTTACCATTGTTGCACTATCCTGCTCAGTGCTTCTGGACTTTGACAAGCTGTAACATCCCTTTTTTATTTGTTTTTCTTCTCTTCTTTTGTAATGAAAGAAACCAAAATGGTTGTGGTGGGAGGAGGGATTTTGCAGCTGCCCAATCCGGGGTAAGCCCAGAAGCACACTTGAAAATACTCTCTACTGTTTGCAACTTGCCACTTCTACATCCATTTGTAATTCAGCTCTGGTTTAGGAAGGATGAAGTGAATGCTGGGACATTTCAAAATAACACCACACCATGTTAGTGCTGCTTTCCTTTTAGGCTCAAAAAGCTTGACCATGCTGAGCTTGTTTGCATTTGGAAATAGAGCACCTTCTCCTTGCCAGACAGGTTTTCCTTGGGTTTCACAGCTCTAATTTTAATCTAACTAGAACATTGTCAGTTAAAGTTTTGGACAGAAAATTCTGGCATGACCAGAATCTAGAATAATTACTGTGAAATTATTCTAGATATTCCAGTTTTCTTCCTTTTATTTTTTTCCCCAAGACTGGAATACTTGCAAAGTGAAACAGAACTCTTCCTATGCCTCCATAGAGAATGATGCTGAAAAATAGAAGACTCAGATGAACTTGATGGTTATATACATTTAGGGTCTTTCTTTTATTTTTTATGCTTATCCATTAGTAAAAAATGCTCTGAACAATATTGTATGAACATATTATTGTTTGTAAGTCATTTATGGTCTAATGCAGCGGCTTCCAACCTTTTTTTGCTGCAACCCTAAATCTGGGTCATGACCCCCGCCCTGCTGCCGACTCACTTATGCCCGTAGTGCTAGCAGAGCTTGGGCCAGGCTGGGATTACGGGAGGCAGCAGCAGTGAGAGCTGCATGGACCATGTGCTGCGAGAGCCCTGCAGGTGGGAGGGGTGGAGCGAGGGGAGGACCCCACCGCGACCCAGATTTGGGTCGCAACCTGAGGTTGGGAGCCACTGGTCTAATGGAACAGTAATCATATTTGGCCTTGTTTAAAATAAAAAGCCTGTGTAATATATTCTTATCCTCAGATAAAATTCCCTCAGTTAACTTTTAGTCAGTTCCTGACAGTGTCTAATCCTGTGTTACTGACTGAACTTTCATACAAATAAAGCAATCTTCTGTATTGCAGAAGAAACCAGAGTGTGGTAAGTGCTCATTGTGTGATTTTTCCCTAAAGGAGGCTTTGTAATAGGGATAATATCTTGTGTATGGTTAACTTTGGCCCATGGGTGACTGGTGCTGCTTTAGTCAGGGGGGGGACTTTGGCCTAACAAAAGAACCTGTATTATTTGCACATTTTAGTTGGTATTTATTGTGGATATGCCTAACTTTGGCCTACTGCATGCAGAAGGAAGATTCTACAGAGGGAAGATCCAAGAGAAAGGGTGGCTGAAGTTATGCATAATAGTCTAAGACCTTGAGGCTGTGCAGTGTCTGGCCCTCATGTTGGGGGAAGGTGATCTAGGGTAGGAGAAGGTGTTTTAGGGTAGGGTATGGCCCTCCTAACTAAAACACACTATGGGGACCTGATGGATCTTGAAACATGCTTGGAAGCCCAAGGTGTTCCTTAGGCATTTTGAGGGCAATATATCAAGCTAAGTAATCATGTTACTTCCCTGAATGTACATAACAAAAACCTATTCCTGAAGATTGGGAATGGGAAATTGAGGATTATGGTGTGTGGGAAAATTCTTGTGTATTTTTCTGAGGGAAGAATGCTGCAAAAAGTAGCCCTGCCCTACTCCTTCCAGTCTCTGCCACATCATGGCTAAGCCAACAACATGCATACTCCCAAAACCCAGTTACATGGACCTTGTATAGAAGGGCTTCCATGGGATTGAGGGAAAGATACCACTTTGCCTCAAGACTTTCTCTCCAACAAATGTTAAGACAATAGGGGAGGTTTCTTTTCATTTTGCCTTCTATATTGGAGATTGTTGGAAGGCCTCACTCCATTTTGATTTAATAAGAGATCTATAAAGTTACAAGCTTCGATACCCATCTTGTCCCTGGCCAGTACTTAAAGACACTCTGAGCTGTGCATTTAAATTAAATGTAAAGAGGTTTATAATGTAGCGTTCAACTATCAATTGATTTATTAACTATGGAATTTGCTGAAGTTTAGGAGCTATTCTGGTTGCCTGTTGAAAAGGTAGAACATTGTTATTTGGACTACATAATGGCTGCCACATAAAATCTAATATAAAGAGGTATTTGGGAACTAATTAAAGGAGTCCAGCTCATAACTAGATATGAAATAATCAACCTTTCAAATGCCTCTCCAAGTTCAGCTTGCAAAAAGCAACATTGTGACTGTGTCTACATGAGACGCTTACTGCACAGTAGCTTGTGCACGCTACTGCACAGTCAGCGTCACCAGGAAGCCATGCAGAGACACTACTGCACAGTAATGCTGGTTAGTGCGCAATCATTTAGTACTTGGATATGCAAGTACTAAATGACTGTGCAGTAACAACTCATGTAGACATGGCCTGTGTTTAACATTCTTGAGAAAAAGTGGAACTTGGAGGGATATAATTGCATGGAAAGTCTAGGATCGTCACCAAAACAAAGCTGTTTGCCTATGTCAGTGGTTCTCAACCTCATTGGACTGGAGGCACCCCTCACTGGACTCGAAGCACCCCTCCATATCTTTTGTGAATTGTGGTGCACAATTTTAAAAACTAATCTATAGATTACAGTGCTTGTAATCTAGAGGGGCCTGGCACTGGGGATGGGGGATCGTCCAGGCAGGTACAACACTTATTTGCGTAGTTTATCTGCCTATCACCTATTACCTCACTTATCTCCTCACACATCGCAGAACCCTTCAAAAGATCTGGCAGCACCCCAGGGTGCCCTGGCAGCCTGGTTGAGAATCACTGGTATATGTTCATGAAAGTCCCTTGTGCCCAATCTGGGTAGAAAATATAGCCCAAAATCTTGAGCCCAAAGAAAATCAACAGAAAGGCAAATAAAATCTATGTCCTTGAAGAGGGTATTCTCCAAAGTACCTTTTCATTCATCCTTAGATTCATTTGTCTTGAAGCCTGAGGCTGTCCCCCAGACTGCCTGTCTATCTGGCAAGAATGATAATGCCATATTCTAGTGGATACTATATGCAAATCCACTTTGCTCAAGCAAATGGCCTATTAGAACTGGATATGACTTCATTTGGCTTTTGAGTACCAAAAAGGGTGCTCAAGGGTATAAAATGTTGTCAGCTGTGCTCCAAATACCTGCTTTGCTAGTATGAAGGGGAAAATGGGGAAAAATGTATGATATATGGGAAAGGGAAAATGTATGATACATGGTGCTAAGGAAAAATACCTTTTGTTTGAAAATTAAAACCCACAAAGTAGAATTTGGGGATTTCATATAGTTCTTGCAGGCATCACTCTGAATGAGTGCTGAAGATCAGCAAGCAAACCACTGATTTGTTACAACACCGACAGTCATCATGGAGCAACACATGCAGTCTCCTGATGCTAAAAGACTCGAAACAATCCAAGCTACATGGCACCTATAACATCAATTAGAATTCCACAGACCACAATTTAGATGACTATTGTGCCAGGTAAAAAAGCTCTGTAATAGTTTGACCCTTGGGGTAAATTTTAACGGTAATCTAGATATAATATCTGTATTTTCGCTAGAACACCTGACACAGAATTTACCTCCATGTAACTGATTTTTCATTTACCAGTTTTAGTTCGAATGCTTTCAGTAAAACCTATTCAATTGGTTAATGTTCCCAGTAGGGGTTCTAATTTGATATAATACCTCACACTGTGTCCTGTGTTTCTTAAGGGCCCAGAGGAGAGCTACTTCTTTATCTGCATTACTCCACATCATAAATGCTAACTTGATTTAGAACATAATGCTCCAAAAAGATTCAGAAGTATGTGTGTGCATGCATGCGTGCATACATATTCTAAATGTGATGTTTTCAGTAGTCCCCTTTTGATACAGACTGTTTTAGAAGATAGATAAACCTGAAGCTTCTCATATGGACATGCTCTAAGGTCTCTTGCAAGAGCCCATAAAAGCAAGGTGTATTGCTTTACAGGTATTCTAGAAATCTTGAGGGATTAAATCATGGATTACATAAAACTATTACTTAATTTCTAGTGAATGGCCTGAAATAGGTTCTTACTAAAGAAGCCCTAACATTCACTTTTCCATGATGACATCAGGTAACTGAGGTTTGTTTAATGGATTTTGGTGCTGAAATATTCAGTTACACCATTTTTTATCTGCTATTTGATCCATTGGCATATATTAATTTAATGCTAACAAAAACTACAATTGGTAAAGCAGATTCCTTGTTAAATTAGTAGCAAGACATTAATAAAATAGAATTTTGAATTTTTTAGAGTATTGGAGTCACTGAGGTTTTTTGTTATTATTTTGTTTTTTCTAGAAAAAGGAATAGCTACAAAACCATGAATTGGTTTAAAATTGTTCTAGGAAATTAATTACCTTGTAAAATAAATATTTTTAGAGGAAAAAGTGAGTTGTAATGCAAATTTGTTTTGAAAGTATTTGGTTATGTACAGTCTTCTTTCCCTGTCCCCTTTGTTATATGTAATACAAACCTGCATAAATGTGTACGGCGGGGGGAGGGAGGGGGGATAAAAGAACAGAAATGTGATGGTTAAGACCTACAGGAGCTGACTCACTAACTTGAGTTATTGCTGTGCAGAAAGTTTATAAAGCCTTTACATCTGGATGAACACTTAACGCTACTTCAGCCTTGACAGTTGACCTTTCAATTTGATTGAACTCAGCAACAATAATAGCAGTATCTCCAGTATAGACAAGGCAACACACCGCGTTTAGCAACCTATCTTCCTTATTGAATCTTATCTCAAGTGACTAAAATTCACACTCTTTGCATGGTTTGCGAAGAAATTTTCTCATTTACAATGTTTCTGTTGCAGAGACCAATCCAGGGACAATTTTCTTTTTCTTCTTTCTCCCACCATTTTGGATATTCTTGGTTTCGGTTTAGGGGCAATAAAAACTAAGAAAAACCTAATATTTAATCAATATGAATTATTTTTCTGACAATAAGACCTAGTGTGAAAAAGCAATAAACAAGTCAGACTGTTGTAATTTGGTCAACCACTCGGGTACTATCCATATCCACCATTTCAACACACTCTATTTCCTCACGATTTTCAGGATTCTTCTTCTCTTTCCTTTTTTTCTTGGATGGTGGCACAAAAGTCAGTATCACAGGTAAAATGGCAAAGCAGTGAAAGAAGGTGACTAATGCTATTAAAAACAAGCACCTGAACAGTGTACGGGTCAGATTTGAAGGCACAGCTGCAAGAGGAATCAGACCAACAATATAACAGAGGTAGCTCTGTAAAATAGCTACCCCGTGAATTTCAAGGGCATTTTTTACCCATTTAGTTCTTGTGAAATCTTTGCCCAGGACAAAAGTTGATAACAGTGGAGCACAGTTGTCAATTGTATAATTAATTCCATAAATTAAGCACAACACAGAAATACAATCCAGTTCCACTTTCCACAAGGTCATAAAACCTATAACTCCAAATTCAACTGAGGCAACAGTTAGAGTGAGCCAGACATTGATCAGAGAGTCTGCCACCAGGAATGCAGAGAAGAAGAGCAGAAATAAAGCACTGATGCAGGAGTTTTGTAAGGGGGCTCCCACTGAGGAGGCATAACGATCCATGTACACAAATGATGGATTGAAAACGATGAATTTCACCTTGGAGGTGAGAGAGAGCTTCCTCAAGGTTTCCAGGAGATCATAAAGTTCTTCTCTCTTGGTTTCCATCGTCTTGGCCACCAAGAACATCCTGGAAGCCACTACATCGACTTCATTATTATATTTCTTGGAAAAGATGATATCCTCTGAAAAATGGGCAAACTGGGGGGCTTTCAGGAAAGAGTTCCTCAACATATCAGTAAAATTCTTTTTGGGCAATCCAGTAGATATGTTGAGTTTCCTAAGATAATTTAAGTAGCTCTCAAACCAGGATATTCTCACAAACCCCTTGGTATACTCTAGCACGTCTTCTTGAACACTTGTGTTCCAGTATTCTATTGACTCATAGATATAAAACCCAATGACTGGGCTGTAGTTACTGAAATACTTTTGCTGGGCAGTAGTATACTCAATGGTTTGAGTTGCAGTTGCTACAATGTTACTAAGGTCTGACCCTTCATTGACCTGCAGGTAGCCCATTAAGGCAAAGGAAATATAAACAAGGTAAAAGAGAACTACAAAAGGCTTGACATAAGTGTTTGTTATCCAGTCACAGTAATAGCGTTTTAGGAAACATACCAATAGATGACTTTCGTAAGTGTTTGTTTCCTCTGAATCTGTTGTGTCCTCACTGAATTTGGCTGTCAGAAGAAACCTATACCACGCAGGCTTCTCTTGCAATACCTCTGGCTTTGGTACCTTTCTGCAGAAGATACTATGCTGGTAGTTGTTTTCTATGTAGCCAGTAAACACCAGGCTGGAACCATAAAAGGAGAGTACATAGAGGTAGTTGAAGAAAATTGCAATACAGGAATTGCAGCAGAAAATCCTGGCTGCTTCAATGTTAGTGAAGGGACTGGCACCTATTCCAAAAGTGACCAGGTACATGGCAGTGGTGAGAGAAAAGGAGAGCATGGAGTCTGCAAACACAGCTGCAGTTCTCTCTTTAACATGTTGGTCTTCTCTGGTTTTCCTCCAGGAGGATAACATTTCAAAAGTCCCATATAACCCATGACCTAGAATAGAGAACAAAGCAAGTGTTTAAGGTATTTATCTCTCAGTCAAGGAGGACAAGCCAACATGGAATAAAATTTCAACATGGACATGCTAACAGGCTCACAGGAAATAAAAGTAGATTCATTCATGTGGCAAAGGTCCTGAAAAAAGAATGATATTAAGGTTTTGTAAGTAACAGAACCATATTCATTATGAAAAAGATAGTTTGGAAATCTAAGTGTCTTTATCAGCAGCCCTGGGTTGCTGGTAAAGATAGAATATTTGTGGGGTTTTTTTAAACCACTGATTTCAGTATCCCGGAGTGCATATGCTGGAAGATACTTCAAATGTTTTTTATTGTTTGTAAAGATGCTGGGATCAGAATGAAAAAATAGGAGCTAGAAGAGACTGTGCTAGCAACTGATGGCCTCCCTTGCATTATTTTCTGCATGCAAAGTATCTATTCTTGCTGGAGTTTGTAAAAGTAAATGCAGCTCCATTTAACTTCGCAGCACCTAAAATACTGTAATCTATTTATTCATCTCTTAAAACAGATGCAGTGGTCATGAAAGATGCTGAACTGAAAGACCTAGAAACTGAAATTCTCTGTTCAGTCACAGAACAAACTGAGGCCTGGGCAAACTGCATGGCTTTTCCTGTGTCTCTGGGTAGTTTATATTACACAATCATTTAACTCTTTGTCTCATTTCTGTGACTTATGGTTATACAATTGTGGTGATGACTGTAGCAATGTGGACCACATACAATAGAACTAAACAGAATACACAGACTCACTTCACATAGGTCACCGATTAGCCATCATATTGCAACGAATGAACCACAACTAGCTGAGATTTGCAGAGAGCAAGAGAAAAAAACATCCTTATGAAGTAACTAACAGTTGAATTATTTTCACAGTTATTGTCACAATCATCATTCACTGATTTTCTCCTTTTAGGTCTGCTCATTTCTCTTCTTTTTTAATCTTTGTTTCTGTTTTTCTCCCACTGCTCTACCTCTCTCAACCTACGCTGCATTTCATTCTCTTCAGAAACTCCCAATTCCCAGTCTAGTGTACTTTATTCTGACTGTGCCATCCTCCCAACCACTAACATTTTAGATCAGTGATGAAGTAGCAAATGATGATGATTAAGCATAATCATTGGATTATCAACTCCAAATTCTAATCAGCCAAGGTCAGGAAACTCAAGGCAGTTGGTACTTCTGAGTTATTGTTTTAGGCTGTGTGCAAACTCAAGCAGACATTACTGCATTTGCTTTACTTTGTTCTGATTTAGCAGGCTTTCTGCTGCCAAAACAGCTAGAAACCTCATGTTTTAAAACAAGAGAGTTTGAAAAGAAGCATTTAGTTTATGAAAATCAGAACATAATATGAAGGTTCCATAATAGATCATGTGGGCTTTATATTTGTCACCCTCACTCCTTATAGTCAGTGTCTTTACAGAGTTAGTCACAGCTGATTTGCTTCAGTCTATAATAAGATATCTAAGTGTTGAGCAGATGAGATGGCTCTTTACCCTAGTAAGACTGGAAAACCATGAACATCCTCAAACAAGGGACACTCATAATATGGAACTAAAATGAGGTGATGTAACAAGTACTACTGTATCTTTTCATCATCATCTTGTATTTCATTACCATACCCCAGTGCATAAAAAATATAATCTTTCCATCATTATTGAAGACATGAGATAAAACGTGAATATCCATTTCCCTGTAATGTTACAATTTGGTTTCCAATGGGAAAGTTAGCATTTATTATAATTTTTCCAAACATTGTTTTACAGCTGTTTCCAGAGGCCAGGTTAAAATTGTCAGTTTGATAACTAGTATAGTGCCCCTTCTTAAAACTACTTGGGGGTGCCCAGACATAAAATACGCAAAAAGCACAATGAGTGACTGACATTGTTAACTATGCTTTAAATAGTTATGTTCTGGGCTCAGTAGGGAAAGCTATTAATCTTGCTTTCAGTGTGTTCTTTGTAAAGACAGATTGACCTTTATTTTTAAAAGTAACTGATCACTTGCTGAAGCAGGGACTGAGAGGTTTAATCCCTTTATGGTTCCCGTAAGTCCTGCAGACAGGCTTGTCTGAGAATTTCACACAGCATCATGTACATTAGCTTCTACTGAGCAAAATGCTATAAAATGAGGTCACTGAATGTTACAAATTACTTTCATCAGGAGCTTTAGTTATACCAGGTTTTAAAAAAGTGTTTTGGCAGTAATAGGGTCTTACATTAAAAAAAAAAAATCAACTAGCTGCGTTAATTTGGTAGTCCTTAGCCATTTCAACAAAACAAAATTTAGATCTAGTTAAAACCAATATAAAGTTTGTTTTCTTTTATTAGTTTACTATTTTGGATAAAAACAGTGTTTGATGACACTGACTTCTGATTGCCACTAACTGCAAAGAGAAAAAAAAAATAGAATGCTTGGGGACAGGTTTTCTTACTTTGTTTTTACATAAGCTAATTTAAAAAGGGAGGTGATTAGGAGAGCTATCTATTAAGTGAGGCTGAAATGGACATAACCAAGGAAGTTAACTGAAAGAGCAGTAGCCCTGTGTGTGATCCCATTTTATGCGTCTCTTCCATTGTTAGTTACACTATCCATGCATTATTGATTGTTTTTTTCTTTTTCAATTTTGTCTGTTTTTTTATTTGTTCTGTATATTATGTATTGCAGTTATGAAGGGTACTAGGTGCCTGAGTGCCTATTTTAAAAAAATATTTCAGAGGTATAAGGGAGAATAGAGAATTAGTGCTTGAAGTTCTACTGATGACTTACTGACACTCAAAGAAAGGGCAGATCATTTGATTTTTGTTGCTTCGTATATAAAGGTATTTGTTTTTTTCCTACTCTTTGTTTCAGGTTTTCAGTTTTCAGGGCCATCTGCCTTCCACATTTGCTTCTTTTTTCCCTCTTTCCTAGTGTTATGTCTGTCCTACGAACTACCAAGTAGAGGCCAAGTTATTCCTCACAAATAATACTATTATTTTAATTTTTTTTCTATTACTGTGTTATGCACAACTGTGTAATGACTTATATGGATTTATTTATTATTTGCAGATACTCAGTAAATAATGTGTCACAACATGTAGGCAATGGGTTACTGGCAAACTGCTTGCTATCAACATTTGCTATTATGATTTGCTATTCAGGACCTGTGATTGGTCATCTAAGTTTCTGATGATCCCTTGTTGAGGGAACCCAAGTTTATATTTAGGAGGAGCTCCTTTCTCCATTTGTATCAGTTTGTTCATTATTCACAGCTCTTCAACAAATCTTTCATATAAGTAATTTATAAAAACAGTGCATACTCTTACAAATTGTATGTACCTTGGATAAGGAGAGGAAATGAGACATGGTGGCACTGGTTATGGTGCACTGGCTGAGCAAGGCAATCAGAAAACATAAGGAGAAATAAAACCTAAAGGGCACTGTGGGGACCAGGGAAATGTATGCTAAAAGGGCAAACACAATTCTTGAGGGAATGGGAAATAGGTAATTGTGAAAGCCTGGGAAAATACCCCTTGTCATCCCTCAGAACAAGTCCTTTATGAGACAGATAGCTTGCTGTTATTATGTCTCTTGTGGCTTTAGAGCAATTCTGACTAACACAGACAAATCAAAACTAAACGGGATGGAAATTTGAGAGGGTGGTCATGGTCTACACTTTCTGCAGCACCCTAGCCTTTGTAATGATGAAGAGTGATCCCTTATAAAATAAAAAATAAGCCTACTTCATGTGTAGTTTGTCATTAGTAGTCTAAAAACACTTTATAAAGGGTATGTATCACTATTCTTATGTCATATATGGGGAAACTGAGACACCAAGAAGTGAAATGCCTGAAATCACTCAGAAGTAGGCGGACCATATGGACCATATTGCCCTTTGTTTTACCTTTGTTTTCCTAGGCACATGTTTATCTCCTTGTAAAACAGAACATCCCTAAAAATGCAAAAGGAAGGTTGGCTCTTTCATAGCTGCCTTTTTTGAAAGGTAGCATTTTATGGCTAATTAGTTTTTCTTGCCCCATCTTCTAGCAGTTGTACACAAAGTACTAATAATGATTGACCTCAACATTAATGAGGCTAAATGCTGTAACAATACACATGATTTCCACTAACTGATGGAATTAAGAACAATAATGTACTAATGTAGACAACTGTCTTCCTGAGAGAGTCACAGGGGTCTGGATTCTGATGCACAGTTTTTGCATATCTAGGAAATCACTGTACCAAGGCTATATGATAAATTCATTTGGCTTAATTCTGATCTCACAAGCACTGGTGTTAGCACAGCCATAAATTTACAGGAGGCTAGCTACTATGCACTAATTCCCTCCATGAACATAAGTAAGAGATCTGCTGACAAAGGGACCCTTATGGGGAGTTAATGTGGAGTAGCTAGGGCACTGTATAGTCCTCCGCAACTTGCTACATACTGGGTGTGTCTACACATTCATTAATTCACCTGTGCTACTGCAAGTTAAGTTTAGTACCTCTAATATGAGATACTAGATAAAGGCGCAGTAGCAGCACTAATGTGCAGTAGCAAAGGCGAACTTTTTTGTGTGACGCTTAATGCACAGTAGAATCATTCTACTGAGCATAAGAACATTACGGTGTCTTGTGTAGATGCGCCCACTAATCTTCTTGTGTTGACAGATCTTAATGAACAACCCTTGTGTGCAACCAGAATGGAGATGAGAACCAGTTGAGGGTATTTTCCTTTACAAACCATGTCTGTAATAATACACGACTTACTCAAGATTCCACTTGCTGATGTAATTGAAAATCAAAATGCACATTTCTCACCTATGCACTTGCCTTTCAGAGTGAGATAAACCAATATGCTTCAATTTCACCTTCCTTGATTGTTCCAGATGAATTAAAGAACTAAATCCCATCTCCACCCCCTGTGAAGTTAAGTGAAATTGCTTTTGCTGACCTTCTTCATTGCATGAGTTAGAATTGGCCAATCAATGGCAAA